AGGGAGGCAAAAACTAGGTGTACTAGAGAATGGAAAAGGTACAGAAGACAGAGAACTCAGGAAAATAAAGAAGTCAGCTGAAGAGCCAGAAACGAATATGCACAGATAAGAAGGGAGGCTCGGAGACAATATGAAAATGACATAGCATCAAAAGTAAAGACTGACCCGAAGCTGTTGTACAGCCACATCAGGAGGAAAACAACAGTCAAGGACCAGGTAATCAGACTGAGAAAGGGTGATGGGGAATTCACAAGAAACGACCGAGAGGTTTGTCAGGAGCTCAACACAAGATTTAAAGAGGTATTTACAGTGGAAACCAGTAGGACTCCAAGAAATCAGAACAGGGGGGCACACCAGCAAGTGCTGGATGAGGTACATATAACCAAGGAGGAGGTGAAGAAGCTGCTATGCAAACTTGACACCTCAAAGGCTGTGGGACCAGACAACATCTCTCCATGGGTCCTTAAAGAGGGAGCAGAAATATTGTGTGAGCCATTAACAAAGATCTTCAACACATCATTTGAAACTGGGCAACTCCCTGAGGTATGGAAAATGGCAAATGTAGTCCCAATTTTTAAAAAGGGAGACAGACATGAGGCACTAAACTACAGACCTGTATCACAAACGTGTATAGTATGCAAGGTCGTGGAGAAGATCATCAAGATGAGAGTGGTGGGGCACTTGGAAAGAAACAAGTGTATAATTGACAACCAGCACGGTTTCAGGGAAGGAAAATCCTGTGTCACAAACCTACTAGAGTTTTATGACAAGGTGACAGAAGTAAGACAAGAGAGAGAGGGGTGGATCGACTGCATATTTTTGGACTGCAAGAAGGCCTTCGACACAGTTCCTCACAAGAGGTTACTGCAAAAGCTAGAGGACCAGGCACACATAACAGGAAAGGCACTGCAATGGATCAGAGAATATCTGACAGGGAGGCAACAACGAGTCATGGTACGCGACGAGGTGTCAGAGTGGGCGCCTGTGACAAGCGGGGTTCCACAGGGGTCAGTCCTAGGACCTGTGCTGTTCTTGGTATATGTGAACGACATAACGGAAGGGATAGACTCAGAAGTGTCCTTGTTTGCAGATGATGTGAAGTTAATGAGAAGAATCAAATCGGACGAGGATCAGGCAGGACTACAAAGAGACCTGGACAGGCTACAAGCCTGGTCCAGCAACTGGCTCCTTGAATTTAACCCTGCCAAATGCAAAGTCATAAAGATTGGGGAAGGGCAAAGAAGACCGCAGACACAATATAGTTTAGATGGCCAAAGACTGCAAACCTCACTCAAGGAAAAAGATCTGGGGGTGAGTATAACACCGAGCATATCTCCTGAGGTGCACATTAATCAGATAACTGCTGCAGCATACGGGCGCCTGGCAAACCTACGGATAGCGTTCCGATACCTCAGTAAGGATTCGTTTAAGACTCTGTATACCATCTACGTCAGGCCCATACTGGAGTATGCAGCACCAGTTTGGAATCCACACCTAGTCAAGCACGTCAAGAAATTAGAGAAAGTGCAAAGGTTTGCAACAAGACTAGTCCCAGAGCTACGGGGATTGTCCTATGAAGAAAGGTTGAGGGAAATCGGCCTGACGACACTGGAGGACAGGAGGGTCAGGGGAGACATGATAACGACATATAAAATACTGCGTGGAATAGACGAGGTGGACAAAGACGGGATGTTCCAGAGATGGGACACAGACACAAGAGGTCACAATTGGAAGTTGAAGACTCAGATGAATCAAAGGGATGTTAGGAAGTATTTCTTCAGTCATAGAGTAGTCAGGCCATGGAATAGCCTAGAAAGTGATGTAGTGGAGGCAGGAACCATACATAGTTTTAAGGCGAGGTATGATAGAGCTCATGGGGCAGGGAGAGAGAGGACCTAGTAGCAGTCAGCGAAGAGGTGGGGCCAGGAGCTGTGACTCGACCCCTCCAACCACAAGTAGGTGAGTACACACACTCACTCACACTCATACACTCACACTGATACTCACACTGATACTCACACTCATACTCACACTCATACACTCACACTCATACACTCACACTCATACTCACACTCATTCTCACACTCACACTCATACTCACACTCACTCTCACACTCACTCTCACACTCACTCTCACACTCACTCTCACTCACTCTCACTCACTCTCACTCTCACTCACTCTCACTCACTCTCACTCTCACTCTCTCACTCTCTCACTCTCTCTCTCACTCACTCTCTCACTCACTCTCTCACTCACTCTCTCACTCACTCTCTCACTCACTCTCTCACTCTCACTCACTCTCTCACTCACTCTCTCACTCTCTCTCACTCTCTCACTCTCTCGCTCTCTCGCTCTCTCGCTCTCGCTCTCTCTCTCTCTCTCTCTCTCTCTCTCTCTCTCTCTCTCTCTCTCTCTCTCTCTCTCTCTCTCTCTCTCTCTCTCTCTCTCTCTCTCTCTCCCACCATACATAGCTTTAAGATGAGATATGACAAAGCTCAGGGAGCAGAGAGAGGACCTAGTAGCGATCAATGAAGAGGTGGGGCCAGGAGCTGAGTCTCAACCCCTGCAACCACAAGTAGGTGAGTACACACACACATACATACATACATACATACATACATACATACATACATACATACATACATACATACATACATACATACATACATATACATACATATCATAAATCCCACAGTTACCATTAAATAAAAAAGTACACTGTTCATAGTGAATGCTTTAAGATCATATTGAGACTTGGTTACCCTTTGTCACAACTGCTGTTTATTTGCATCAGCATCATAAATACTGTATTATAGTACAGTATATAAAACCTGTTGCCCTATTCATCCAGCATTATGTTGGTACCTGGGTGTTAGTCAGTTGTGTATCACATGATAGGGATGACAGCCAAAGGAGCTCAGTGGTAATATGGCATGCCGTACTGATTGCATTTTCTTTGGGTTAACCCGAGTAATTAACCTATAAGCTTAATAGCCAGAAAAACTTTCCTTTTTGTTGTTAGTAATAGGTGTACATTATATAGTAGTAGTATAGTACAGTGGACCCCCGCATAACGATCACCTCCGAATGCGACCAATTATGTAAGTGTATTTATGTAAGTGCGTTTGTACGTGTATGTTTGGGGGTCTGAAATGGACTAATCTACTTCACAATATTCCTTATGGGAACAAATTCGGTCAGTACTGGCACCTGAACATACTTCTGGAGTGAAAAAATATCGTTAACCGGGGGTCCACTGTATTAAGACCAGGATTTGTATAAAATACGAGTTTCATTGAAAAATTCTAATTCACCTGAGTACGATTTTGTCATGGTAATATAAAAAATTTTTTTTAGGGCATTTTTAATTTTTCTTTAGTATCATTCATTCTTTAGAATTTATTGATGGGTAAAGTAAAACATCATACATTTCAGGTGTGTGCCCTACAAATACAGTGGAACCTCGGTACTCAAACTTAATTCATTCCAGAAGACTGTTCGAGTGCTGATCTGTTCGAATATTGAACAAATTTTTCCCCACCAATTTTCTTTTTGGTTGGCTGTTATCACTGATCTTCATAGGCCCCATGGTGACTTATTTATACAAATACTATGAAAGAAAAACACCAAAAAATGTGAAGAAACACGAAGTAGTTTACAATGAAGTTCTGGCAGGTCGTGTTTGTTTGGTCAAGTGCCAAGCTTTGATTGAGTAGGGAGCTGTTTGAGTACGAAGGTTCCACTGTAAATCACAGAAATTAAAGTTTTTACAATTTATAAGTATAAATGTAATAGAGATTTTTGTAATGCATTCATACTTCCTCTGTTTTCATTATCAGTACAGTGGTAGAAGTGTGCTAGTGGAAATTAGGCATTTATTGAAATTATAAATTACCGATAAGCTGATGACTAAGATACCCAATTAATTACAGTAAAACCTCTCATTAACAGATTTCAGACAGAATTTCTGAACAAATGCTCTATTTATTAGACAAAATGGGCAAAAGTCCATAATTCTCCCCTTTGTACCGATAGTGTCAAGTTGTCCTCTGAAGTATCGGGCCAAGTCTGCTAACTTCAACGTTTGTCCAGTAAGGGCCAAAGTAACCACATGAAGGACCTGTCTGTTTTCATTGTTCCCTGAGCCATAGGCCACTCATGCCTGTTTATTGTTTGTGCTCACTCACACATACACTTATCATTCCCTAAATTTAGAGCATTTTCTGTGGCAACATATTAAGTAAAGTGCAAATAAAAGTGGCTTTTAAGGCAAGTGGTGGGGCCAAGAGAAAACACATGGTTCTCAGAAATCTACATATTCCCAGCCATCTATGTCTTCTCAGCCATCTACATCATCTTAGCCATCTACAACTCGTCCTTCTACCGTATTTTCACTGGTAGAGCTTTACAGCTCCTTTGACTCAGAATAATTCTTAGTCTGAGTCACCAGAATTGTTCACAACAGTTTACACATCTCTCCACCACGAAAAGGTAGGTAAAATGACCATAAATTAGGTAGATACTATAAAATTGCTATTCAGTACAGTACATGTACTACAGATTGCAGTGCCCGTATTCTCAGTGTCTGCATTAGCGGACCAAGTCCATTACTTCAGAAGACAACCGGACTATCATGAAATATTTATTTCATAATTCAGGATTTACACACAGCATTATTGTACACCTCCCTGTCCCATTTTAGTCCACCAATGAGAGATTTTAATGACCTATTTGTTTTCATGACCTATTTGTTTTTAATGACCTATTTGTAGCTAGAGGAGCAGAGCTATGCTCATGGTGTCTTGTTATCAGTTTGTTCATCATATAATTTCCAGTGGTTGAAGCACTTACTACATCCTCTTTTACAGTATTTCATTGTATTGATCCATTGGTTTTGTTTTACATAATACTATACATCTCTCACTTCACTTTTCTCAATTTGTAAATGTTTCACATGTGTTTGTGGTCATTCCATTCATCAAGTTTCTGCAGGCAGTACCTAATCAGATGGGCAGTAATGGTCGTGTAGACTTGCAAGTTGCATGTAACAAGAGCCTGGCTGGTCAGCCACCAGGGAAACTTGATCACAGACTGGACTGTGGAGTAGAAAAACTTTAAATTGGTCACAGTATGCTGCAGGCTTGTCTCGTAAGTAAGTAAGTTTATTCAGGTATATACAAATGCATTTATATACATTATCATACATAGCAACAAAGTGACTTATTTCCATTGGGGTCCTTACAGGTGAACCCCTCTTTACAGTGCTTAATTTTAGAGTGTTTTGCTAATATGTACATGTACAGCAGTTTTCAATTATACCCATTCTTCATTTATTCAGACTTTCTACAATAACTATATTCACCACTTGCTATAAGCTAAGGACAAAGATATTTTAAGGTAAGTAATGTGTGTACTGTATATGCATTTTTTAGGCCTAGCTATATTGCTCCCTTAATATATTATACTGTAGTATAAACACGTTATCAGGCTTTTATATGCATTTAAAAGTGAAAAAAAAAGGTTATGATTCACTTTATAGCAATATTTGCTCTACAGCAGTAGCCCAGAACCTAACCAATCAATCACTCAGTCAAAATCAATCAAAAATTTATTTCTTTTTAAAGGTTACAATGTGTGTTTAGATTTCATAATTTGAGTGGTACAAAGAAAGCCACTATCATGCCAAGGCATTTTGGGCAGACTTAACCTAATACTTAAAGACAGACTACTTAAGTCTAGACAGGTGAAGAGTGGTAGATTACAAATATTCAATATTTTACTCTCTTGTTAATACAAGGTAGTACAATTTATGATACAGACATGCATTTTTAGGTTTGTAATAATGGCTAAATAGTTAAGGGAAAATAAAATATTTGGGAGAGTTGCTTCAAATTTGGTTAGATATTATCATAGTGTGGGTATGGTTGTTATTTAGAGATGAGATGATTTTTAAGTATAGTCCTAAACTGATTTGTGGCAGGGAACCTCTTGTTGCTTCGGGTAAAGAGTTCCAGATCTTCAGGCCCTTTATGTGCATTGCATTTTTGCATAGTGCGAGACGGACACGAGGGATGTCGAAAAGTGTTTTCATGCCTCATGTTATGCCTGTGTGTTCTGTTGAAGCTGTCTAGAAGTTTGAATGGAGGACTGATAATGTTCTGTATATATAGTAGCCACAATAATAAGTGTGTATATTTTGTATATTAAGTAAGTACAAGCTCTTGAAGAGTGGTGGGGTGTTTTATCTGGCACAGGAGTTTTTGATCATCCACACAGCAGCTTTTTGTTGGGTTATTAAAGGTTTAAGGTGATTGGCCGTGGTAGATCCCCAAGCACAAATACCATAGGTGAGGTAAGGATATATTAGAGAGTGATATAAAGAAAGGAGTGCCATTTGGGGTACATAGTATCATATCTTGGAAAGAATACCTACTGTTTTGGAAATTTTCTTAGTTATATGCTGGATGTGGGTTTGAAATTTAGGATTATATCAAGGTGGAGACCTAGAAATTTGCCCTCAGTATGTCTTGTAACGGGTGAACCATTTATCGATATGTTTAGCTGGATATTTAATGCTCTGTTTCTAAAAAACATGAAGTAGGTTTTGTCTATATTGAGAGTGAGCTTGTTGGTCGTCACCCAGTTTGATATTTCATGTAGCTTGCTGTTTACGGTGTCACTAAGCATAGCTGGGTTTGGGTGGGAGAAGATGCAAGTGGTGTCATCTGCGAAGAGAACTAGTTTAAGGAGTTGCAATGCATTTGGGAGGTCATTGACATAAAAAAGAAAAAGTAGAGGACCTAGGACACTTCCCTGTGGCAATCCAACATCTACAAGCTGAGTATTGGAGGTCACGCCATTTGTGTATACCTGCTGTATAAGCGAGGGCCCTCCTGTATTCCTTTATTGTGAAATTACCTGAGTACAGTATGTAGGAGGTTGCTGCCAACCAGCAGCCACACACTTGGCTTTGCAGGCATAGCATAATATCTCTGCAAGCAATATAGAATATACAATCCGGTTGACAACCAGTTAAAAATAATTCCAAGTCAGGAAAACAGTGATAATGAGTATTTAGAAGGGGAATGTGTTAATACATTTGGCAATTTGTTGAGGAGAAAGTGGCAAACACAGAGCAAGTTTTCTTCTTAACATACCAGCCATCTTCCACCAAGATCAAGTGACCTGAACTCCAGCATGTCAAGTCATAAAAATCACTGCACACTCCTATCTAACATGCTCACACAAGCCCTAACACTCAAAACCCCCTTTATTTTTCCCTTCCAAACTTTCTGGGATGACCCCTACCCCTCCTCTTCCCTCATATTTATAGCCATCTAATCATCCTATTTTGCTCCATCCTCTAAAAGCTAAATGTTCATACCAGCTCAACAATCCCTCGTCAGCCCTCTGAATTAAACTTTTGGTAACTCCACACCTACTCTCTAAGCTCAAAATTATCTGCATAATATTCACTCCGCATATCGCCCTGTAACACACCATCTTCACAGCCTCTAGCCGCCTCCTCACTGCAGTGTTTAAATCCCATGCTTTTCAGTTTCTTATAACAGTGTTGGTACCACTATATTCTGATGCATTTCTCTTTTTGCCTCCATGGATAAAATTCTTTGTCTCCACAGATTCCTCAATGCACCATCCATGTTTTTTTTTTTCTTGTCATTTCTATTGTTCACCTCATCTTTCATTGATTTTTTCATTGACACGTCCGCTCCTAAATATCTGAACACATTTACTTCCTTGCCTATGTTCACTTTTAATTTTCTTTTACATACCTTCCTAAATCCCTCTACCAGCCTTTGGAACTTCTCTTCAGAATCTCCCAAACGAACCATGTCATCTGCAAAAAAAGAAACTGTGACAACCTGTTTTGTATCAGTTTATTGTAATCCTACACCTCTCTCTAACACCCTGGCATTTATTTCTTTAACAGCTACATTATATTTTTTTTTTTTAACATGTCAGCCATTTCCTACTGAGGCAGGGTAACCCACAAAGAAAGAAAAATCCCAAAAAAGAAAGAAGAAACTTTCATCATTGTTCAACACTTTCACCATTGGGGCTTCAGTCCTCTAAGGCCCTCCATAATTTCCATAAGACACCAAAAGCCCCTACTGTGATGAAAATCTGTTTCTTACTTCTGCCTATACTAGATGTTCATATAAGAATCTAAGAATGAAAGAACACTGTAGAGGCCTACTGACTTATTGTTAGGGAATAGGAGACATGCAACTATTGTGACATTTTATTGCAGCATTGTTTCACTTTCCAGGAACTTAGTCAAGCTTGACAAAGCTACTGGAGAGCAAAACGTTGTCACAGGAGAATGTCTCGTTAGTTGAACACTCATCTTTTACCTAACAAAGTGTTGGTAATTTTAACAACATTATTGGCTGGTATTGTATGCCTTAATGTGTCTAATTCCTCATCACCTAAACTCACTCACTCAGTTGGCTACTCATGTGTGACTTCACTACCTCTTTCTTTCACCTCAGGATCTCTCTCCAACCCCTGTAGATGCCCATGTTTTGCTCTGTGTGTGAATTGATAGTCCCTAGTGGATGAGACATTTTACAAGAAAATACCATAACCTGCATTGTGTATGTTATTTACATGCTGTTGGTGTACTCTGCCATTATATTACCCTACTGGCTGTCAGACACAAGATGGTCCCATCAAGATACAGCTTGTTCTTCTGTCAAATTAACATATCCAGCAATTTCTGCAATCCTTAGACATGAAAACTTCAAATGCACATAGTGTATCAGAAGCAAGTGCCCTGTAGTCTCATACAGAATATGTGATTCATAATCACTCATACATTGATGAAGACTAGTGCAAATCAGTAAGTTACTGACCATCTTCTGTCCCCTTGCCTCCAGCTGGCTTCTGCTGTGGATCTTGTTAAGTCATTCATTTCACATCTTCAGGAAAAACACTGAAGATTCATAGCAGGGTTACTGGCAAGACAGTTTACTTATGTAAAGTGGCTGACACTGATATACGGCAAGAAAAAATGAAACTACGTTCTCAGTCTCCTCATTCACAAGAGCTTGTTGATTTTCAATCTGGATATCATAAGTATATAACTACTTCTCGTGAATTCTGCACACATGCTAGACTGGTTAGTCACTGAATTAAACAGGCGATTTTCAAACGACTTGTTTAGCACGCTGAAGGGTTCATCAACAATGAATCCTCAAAATGCTTTATTTGTGGAGAAATCTTGTATTCTGAAGATGGCATTTAACTATAGTGTCGGAGAGGAAGATGCAAGTACAGTGGACCCCCGGTTAACGATATTTTTTCACTCCAGAAGTATGTTCAGGTGCCAGTACTGACCGAATTTGTTCCCATAAGAAATATTGTGAAGTAGATTAGTCCATTTCAGACCCCCAAACATACACATACAAACGCACTTACATAAATACACTTATATAATTGGTCACATTCGGAGGTAATCGTTAACCGGGGGTCCACTGTACAGTGGACCCCCGGTTTACGATCAGCTCCCAATGCGACCAATTATGTAAGTGTATTTATGCAAGTGCATTTGTATGTGTATGTTTGGGGGGTCTGAAATGGACTAATCTAATTCACAATATTCCTTATGGGAACAAATTCGGTCAGTACTGGCACCTGAACATACTTCTGGAATGAAATAATATCGTAAACCGGGGGTCCACTGTATTAAGCTTCAAGTGTAGCATCTTTTTGAGAGATGAAAAAAAGACAGGGGTCATACTGTCATGACTCCACCTGAATTTGCTACTATACTTAGACCATACCATGATGCTTTCATAGAGTTGTATAAGATGGTGTGCATCAGTGACTTTGCCACTTAATTCTGCAGCATGTGAATGTAGTTTTTCCTTCCTGCAACTGATTAAAACTTACTTTTGGAACAGCATTGGTGATGGCAGAACAAGTGATATTGGAGTTATAGCTATAAATTCAGAGTCAAGAATCTGACTGTTGATTGAAGGTATCATTGATACTTTTACTTCAAACCATAACAACAGAAGAATCGCACTGCTAAAACTTGCCCTGAGCTTCTCATATGAAAGTAGAATGAGTCTATTATGCTCTTCCTGTTTATCAGCCCTCATGGGCTTAGCACTTAATTTTATTTATTATTATTATTATTATTATTATTATTATTATTATTGTTATTATTATTATTATTATTATTATTATTATTATTATTATCTTTCTGTATAAGGCCATTATTTTGATGGCAAGTTATATGTTGATATAATTTCATGTACCGTATTTTCTGGCATATAAGGTTCATTTTTTCCGGATAAAAGTCTTGGAAAATTACCCTGCATCTTATATGTTCAAGGTCAGGGTCTCAAAGATAGACTTTAGGTTGCGTTTTAGCAATTGTTTACTAATGTTACACCAGAACCTCTTGGATACATCGTGTTATACGTCTCGTATGATTGTGCGCCTTATATGCTGGAAAATACGGTAATTATTGTTCATATTCTTTGATATAGACATTTGTTTTCTCACTCTTATAAAGTGTGAATAAATGGATCATTAGAAAACATTTCTATTTTAATTTCTATACACGTATAATAAAGCCTCTCCTCACTTAGAGACATACTCGTTTACCAACTACTCGGACTTACGACAGGCTCACTGACCAGTATGCATACCTAAATAATATATATTAGAGCTGATTTCCTCTGTTATGTTTATTACAATAGTATACAGTACACTCTGTATAAACATTTAAAAATATACTGAAAATGCTGTAAATGGTGCAAAGGTGACATTAAAACACTTTCAAAGATGGTTGACACAAACACACTACTATTTTTGTATGCTCCTTGCTTAGTGGTGAATTCGTTTACCGACATGGTCTTAGGAACGGAACTCTGTAATTAAGTGAGGAGAGGCTGTATACAATCTAAGGAAAAATAGCGTGCTTGTTTTGCAAATACAAGAGTCCCCTCCCCCCAGCCCCCAATAAAAAAATCCTGGTGCTACTCCTGATTAGGTGTAAGTAGCAGTAGCAAGATGTATTTGTAATCATACGTGTTTATGAGACAAAGAAAATATACCAGCAATCCCACCAGTGTACAACAATTACAGGTTTTGGTCTTACACACATTTGACCAGACAGTAGTACCTCCCTGGGTAGTTGCTTTCTGCTGACCTACTTCTACAGAGCAATGTATTGACTAGTACTGTGTGTACAATATTGCATTCCCTTTAGTGAATGACAAAAATGTATACATGTATATATTTTCATATTGTACTCACCTAATTGTGGTTGCAGGGGGTCGAGACTCAGCTCCTGGCCCCGCCTCTTCACTGATTGCTACTAGGTCCTCTCTCTCTCTGCTTCCTGAGCTTTGTCATACCTCTTCTTAAAACTATGTATGGTTCCTGCCTCCACTACTTCACTTGCTAGGCTATTCCACTTCCTGACGACTCTATGACTGAAGAAATACTTCCTAACGTCCCTGTGACTCGTCTGAGTCTTCAGCTTCCAGTTGTGACCCCTTGTTCCTGTGTCCCCTCTCTGGAACATCCTATCTCTGTCCACCTTGTCTATTCCCCGCAGTATCTTGTATGCCGTTATCATGTCTCCCCTGACCCTTCTGTCCTCCAGTGTCGTCAGTCCGATTTCCCTCAACCTTTCCTCGTACGACATTCCCCTGAGCTCTGGGAGTAGCCTTGTTGGAAACCTTTGTACTTTCTCTAACTTCTTGACGTGCTTGACCAGGTGTGGGTTCCAGACTGGTGCTGCATACTCCAGTATGGGCCTAACATACACAGTGTACAGTGTCTTGAACGATTCCTTATTAAGGTATCGGAACGCTATTCTCAGGTTTGCCAGGCGCCCGTATGTATATATACTATAAGTGTATTTCTGGGATGGTGATGAAAGGGTAGCTGAGTAGTGTAAATTTGATCTTAAAAACATGAACAATGCACTCATTAACCATACACTGGCAATTGAACATCAAATTAATTTTTAATGATGCTAAATTTTTGGTAATTAGACATGATAGTTATGCTATAAAACAAAATAAATGCTTAGAATCATAATTTATAGATGTGTGTAAATATCTTAACAAAGGTAAAGGATTCTTGTTGTTGTCAAAACCCATTTGCTTATTTAATTGCTGTTCTTCTTAACATGTTATTTTGCACTGGGGAAACAGTTGGTTGGCACTATATTATAACTATCTTTGTGCCCTCGTTTTTCTTATTCCCGATGAAGCTGTCTCTGCAAAATATTAAGTGAAATGTAATCACTGCTATGCACTTGTTCCTTTACTCAAAAGTTGTCTACGGTCCACACTTTTAGTGTTACATTAATATCTTCTCTCAAATAATATTTCCATTGTTTATCTTGGAGCACCATTTTTGCATTACTAGGCCATTGCATTGAGCGAACTACCACCCTGTGTTTTTTTTTTTTTGGCATTAGTATTAGATCTTTAAACCCTTAAGGAGTATCTGTGGAGATAGCTTTTGTACTGTACAAGGTTGATGATATTTCATATTCGAAACGTTCATGCGCAACTTTCTCTTTAACCCTAGCAAGGTGTTCACGGTGTGGGTTGAGAAATAGTACTGTGACAACCTTCGCATTCTCTTCAATGATTGTTACTTGATATGTTCCTCACTATCTTCATAAATTCTCATTGGAATAATTATATTTTAATATTTGTCCTCACAGATACAGCTTAGCCGGGTAAAATATTTTGCTCTCCAGGAGCTTTATCAAGCTTCTGGAGAGCAAGATGTTGCCACTTTAAAATATCACGTTAAATGCATCTGCGTCCTTATACCTAATATTTTGTCAGTAATGTTACC